AGCCCCTATGGCTCCTAGAGGCCCCCCTGTTGCCCCCCCCATAGTCCCTCTGGTCCCTGTAGGTCCCCGCTGTAGCCCCTTTGCTGCCCCCACGGCCCCTATAGGTGCCCCCTATCGCCCCTATGACCCCACTGGACTTCATGGCCCCTATAGGTCCCCCTTATAGCCTCTATGGCCCCCTATAGATCCCCCCCATGGCCCCCTCCCCATGCTGCTACAGCCCTATGCGTGGGCTGGGCTGGGGCGGTGGGAGAAGCCGTGCCCCATGGCCTGGACCAAGGGGCCACCGGGCCAGAATTGGCTCCTTCCCAGCAGCCCCCACTGGCCCACACCTGTGGGGCCGCCCCACGGAGCCCACCAGTGGGCGACCAGTTGTCCATGGACTAGCAAATGGGGCCTGGTGGCCAAGAAGGCCAACGGTCTCCTGGTGGTGGCCAAGAAGGCCAACGGTCTCCTGGTGGTGGGCAGCAGGTGGAAGCGGGTCCATCCTCCCCCTCTGCTCTGCCCTGGTGGGATCACAGCTGGGGACTGGGACCAGTTCTGGCCCAGGACAGGGGGCAACGGGCACAAACTGGGACACGGGAGGTTCCATCTCCAGGTGAGGAGGAACTTCTCTCCTGGCAGAGCCCTGGGACAGGCTGCCGAGGGTGGCTGTGGGGTCTTCTTTGGAGATGTTCCAAGGCCAGAGGAAGAGAGGAGAACGTGGGGAGAATGTGGGGTTTGGTCAAGTAGCCCCTGGCTTGGGCCCCGTCCACTGCTGGGTGGTCTTCTCCAGAGACCTGGCTCTAAAGAAAGGGTCCTTCTAGACGAGATCCAGGAGAGGGGCCTTCTGGAGAAGATCCAGGAGAGGGGCCTTCTGGAGAAAATCATTTGGATTAACCCATGAGCTTGAGAAGGTGCCCTGGTGGATTTGACCATGAGCTTGAGAAGGTGCCTGGGTCCAAGCTGGAGCAGGTCTCCACCTCCAGCCCACTGTAGTCCACTGTTTCACCACCAGCTTCTCATCACCCCAGTTCTTCTTGTCATGGTTGCTCTCCATCATTTCATCTCCCAGCCTGGGTTTCCCCCACCCACGTGCAGGACTTTCCACTTGGTCTTGTTGAACCTCCTGAGGTTGACCACCACCCTCTGAGTGCCACCAGCCAAGCAATTTCTCCGTCTCTCCACAGAAGCCATATCTCACCAACATTGAGAAGAAGGATCTTCTCTTTCTGTGGTCCCTGCCTCAGGTCCATCCACTGGAGAGAAGTGGGAAGAGGTCACCAGTGAAGACTGAGGTTCTTGAGAATCCCAACCTTCTCCTCATCTGTCATCACCAGTTTGCCAGTGAGAAGATGGAAGAGTCTCCAGGCCAAAGGTGGTTCTGAGCACCCACCATGGACACCTGAGATGTTCTGGTGTCCGTGGGCACCATACTGACCAGAGGACAGACACTGGAGAATTTTGGGATGCTTGGACCAGTCAAGTGATCAACTACCTCAAGTGGTGACCTCCAGTCTAAGGTGGGCTTTGACCGAATGTTCTCCAACATCTTCAACCTCATCCTCGTGGCTCGGCCCTTGAACTGATCTCAGGAGTTCTGGTGTCTCCATGGAGGTGGGCTCCTCAATGGGCTTCTCCATCGATGCCCAAAGTTGACCTTCGAGACCTTCTCGAGCCTTAGTGGCCACCTGGCCCCAGGGGAGGCGGCCAAGCCTTGAGGCCACCTGAGCCCTGGCCAGAGATGTCCCACCAGAGCAGGAGATGGGGTCACCCCCTCCAGGTGAAGGTCAGAACTGGGGGGCGGGGCAGAGGTGGGTTCCCAGTCTGGACTGGTGGGTGACGTCACGCGGTCCCCAGCGCCCCTCCCCCCACAGAGGAGGAGGCCATGATGTCCCCAAAGGTCTTTAATGTGGCTCCAGCCGTGGCGCCTGCGGGGGAAGGGACGGGGACACCCTGGAGACACCCCGGGGATGGTGACACCCCTGGGGACACCCTGGGGATGGTGACACCCCCACCCTGGGTACGGTGACACCCTACGGAGTGACACCCTCCCCCTGGGGACCCCCTGGGGACAAGGACACTCTGGGGAACACCCCAGGGAGTGACACCCCTGGGGACCTTCTGGAGATGGTGACACCCCTGGGGACAGTGACACCCCTGGGGTCGCTCTGGGGGGTGACACCCCTGGGGACGGTGACACCCCTGGGGACACTTTGGGGGGTGACACCCCTGGGGACACCCTGGGGACGGTGACACCCCCACCCTGGGCACGGTGACAGCTCCGGCCCTGGGGACCCCCAACGCCTCGGGGGCACCCCTGGGGGCAGCCGGGGGACACTGGGACCCATACGGTGACACCCTACGGAGTGACACCCTCCCCCTGGGGACCCCCTGGGGACAAGGACACTCTGGGGAACACCCCAGGGGGTGACACCCCTGGGGACCCTCTGGAGATGGTGACACCCCTGGGGACAGTGACACCCCTGGGGACACTCTGGGGGGTGACACCCCTGGGGACGGTGACACCCCTGGGGACACTTTGGGGGGTGACACCCCTGGGGACAGTGACACCCCTGGGGATGGTGACACCCCCACCCTGGGCACGGAGACAGCC